GACACATTGACCATCTTGTGTCAATGTTTCAGACCTTTAAATTATTCAGAAAAGGTGTTTGGTGATTGGTCTGTTGGAGGAATGGCTGGCTGGTTAGTTAGTTAGTTATTAGGATTTTTGGAAGGAAAGTTGATTTGATGGATGGTTGGTTGGTTTTTGGTTGGTTGAAATGATGGTTGTCTGAAAGGATGGTTAGTTGGAGAAATGTATTTTCAAGAGTTGGTCATATTGCTCCCAATAATGCTTGAATAAATGCTTGAAACTGTTGCCATCTTAGCAGTGTGAACTTTTAAAAACCTATTTAGCAAGGGTCCATAAATAAAACATTAGAATCCATGATAAAGTATCCAGCCAGGTGCTGAAATAACTTACAGCTTTCTTGTTACTGTTCAGGCTACAGTTCAACCTATTCCAAACTAATTTCTGTCATTTTTCCTTCAGGTTATGGAGGAAAAATGTTCTAATTTCTGATGGAAATTTTCGAACATGTAAAGCTCTCATAAGCAGAGATTGACATGCTGTCAGGATGGAAATGAGCTCCTTCATACTCTGTCAACCCCACAACCCCAACCATCAGTTACTGAGGGTCGCAGGTGAACAAATACAAGAACCTCACACACGCAGACTAATTAACCTGTCATTATATCCACATCTGAAGCACCGAAATTGCTTTTTCACATCTCTCACATTTAGCAGCTGCAGAGATTGAGGGTAATTTTTCTGACGTTGCCATTTTTCAGTTTGATTGCATTCAGTTTGTGAAGCAGTAATGGTTGCACAAACACAGTAGAAAAATAATTATTATTTCTGTGGCCAACAGAAAAGCTATTTTGGATGCTTTTTGGCATTTTTATAATTCAAACTCCTCGTCTAGATGCTGATTGTTGGTTTGCTCCTCTTCATAACAGTGGAGAACAAACAACAAAACCCATCTGAACGTGTTGCTCGATAGGAAATGGTGCTCTGTAATGTGCATTATTGATCCATTCTGCATTGTTTATGAAAATTTAAAACATAAATGTGAATTAACCCATGTACTGCAAAGGGATTTTAGCAATAGTAGACAGAAAAACACAGCCCTCTTTGAAGATCCATTGCTCAGCCACACTTTCAAGTGGAAACACCATTTAAAGTTTTAGGAAGTTATAGATAGCTGGACTTTACCAGAATAAACTAGTATTTAAATAACTTTTGTTTTTACACAATTCCACTGTAAGTTTTATGTATTTCAATAAGATTTCCTCTCAGAAGGTGATGTCACACTCTAGTTTTCACCCTTGTGAAATATCCAGAAAGCTTTTTGATTTAAACCACTTTCATGTCCACAGTTTCTCCTCCACAGACACAGTTTACATATCAAACATAGTCATTTCTCCCTGTTTTCACCCAGTGCACCTCTCTCTGGTTCAACAAATTCTGCTTTCTTTTAAAACCCACCAGAGTGCAGAGGTCGCTCACGCAAACTACAGTTCACTCCCATCATGTCACCACTGAATGTTTCTTATAAAGTTGGAATTGAGCATTCTTATTTTACCTATAAAATGGAAAAGAAATGTAAAAATGAATGTATATGGCCACCAGAGGGTTTGGCAGACAGCAGCCTGAGATTTTTTCTGAAATGACTTTTGGTTTCCAAACAGCAACTGTTTGTTTGAGACATTGATTTGTGTCTGTTTTGTTTGTTCTTAACAGAATCGCCATAGCAACAAGTGGTTCGACATTTTCTGTATCTGTGGTCTTTATGGCATTGATTTCATTCTTTTATATGTTATTCCTTCATAGTTGCCTTGTAACTGAGAATAATTTTTCAGTACTCAGGATTGATACACATCCAGAAGAACTTTTAACTTGTACTTTCAGAATAAAGTTCACAAATACCCTTTAAAACTCTTTTACCAGTTTTAAAAGATAAACTCTCTAGAAACTCTCTAGAAACTCTCTAGCCTGAATCTGGAAACTAACCTTTAATAAACACAGTGTTCTTGTAAAGCAGCTTAAGTCGCGAGTTCACACTCTGAAACAGTTTTGAAACAGGTTTTCTGTTCTGACACATCACAGTTTGAGTTAACACACAGCGCTTCCCTCTAATCTTTTCAAATATTTAGGTTTTAAGTTGTCAGAAACACTGTGCGGCTGTTCACTGAAAAATTGATATACCTATTTATTCACTCGGTTGCACCCAACACTGCCTCCTACAAATAGGAACCTTCACTGTTTTTAACTCTCTCCCCCTTCCACAGTCTGATCTTCTGCCGGGCTTAACAGGATGACAACCTCTGCTCAGCTTATGTGGAAAATCCAGGATACATCCTCAGCAGTGCTCATATAACACAGTGACACAGGAAAACAGCTCCTCTGAAAAGCATTTACAGTAATGCTGCGTGTCAGAGATATGGAAAAAACTGAATTTTATAGCTCTAATATGGGAGAAATGCAAATGATCTACAGTGAAAGTGAGAGCTGGGAAACTGCAGCGAGCTACGTTTGACTCTGAGGATGGGATGGTAGAAAATAAATCAGAATATTAGAAAGTAAAATTACCTCCAGAGTCTCTTCCAGCCTTTATGTAGCAGCTGCTTTGGTATTGGTGCTATAAAGATAAACTGAATTAAATTAAATCATAAACTCTAATCTGTTCTTCAATTATTATTACAAAATATAACTTAAAATAATTTCTTTAAACGTTTTTTAACATGCTCATGTTTCTGATTGGCTGCTAAGCTACTTTACTCCTCAAGCTAGGACAGCAAGCGCTATATGGATGAGGAAAAGACCTCATGGCCAATTAAAATCAGAAGGTATGAGGCAGCATTCATGCTAAACAAATGCAAGAATAGTGCATTTGTTTAGCATGAATAGTGAATAAAAGTGAGAAAAACTTGTTTCTTTAGATATGTTGTAGCATCTGTGGTAAAAGGTTCCTAAGCCAGAAGCTAATGTTTGGGTCCATGGCATGCAGAGGTTTGGGAACCCTTGGTGTATGTAAACTTCTGGTTTCAACTATATTCAAATTATTTTGTTCTCTCAATTTGTCTTAATGCCAAACCCTAAACTAAAGGAATTTGTTGCCTTCTTGTAAAGCATGAAAGTAAGCTGCAACTTCGTTTCGCTGTTCACATTTCTCACAAATGATTTTTCAAACATCAGCTGTAAAGAAAACCTATAAATCAATAATGTCACTTAAACCAAAGTAACAGGAAACTCTAGGAACCCCTCTGCCAACATTCTGAAAATGCAGATTTACATATTTTGATGTTAAGCAGGGCAAACAATCAAGTTATGGCGTCACGTCCAGTTTAGCGGTGATTAGCACCAGTTGGAGGCGGTAACTTTTGTCAGTGTGAATGTGAACTAGTTTGCTTTCTTCAATTATTTTCAGATTTCTCCTTCATTGTGGATGGTGTGAGGTTTAGCATTAGTGTAAAACAAAAACTATAACTTTTCTTTAGCTTTAAATGGGCTATAAAGTAGAACGAAAAACTGCTTGATAATTCTAGTGTGATATAAGTAATTATCTACAATGAAAATGAAAGGAAAAGTGAGAATCTTAGAAATTTTGTCCAGTCTTTAGGCACTTGGAGATAAACAAAACCCTTCAATGATCCTTAGAGTAAAGAAATAAACACCAAGCATGTGGAGCTCTTCATTGCAAAGCGCTGCTGCTGCTGGCTGTAGTTAACCGAAGTGGCATGCTGCAGAAAAGCTGGCTGCAATTGGCCCCTGAGGAATGTTAATTACCTCTGTGACAATAAATCCATAAAGATTTGAAGGAAAAAGAGATTCCTGAGGATAAACAAAGAAAAAGAGTGAGCTATTAAGTTCAGTCAGCTGTGAAAAATAGGATTTCTGCTAGATAAAAACCGGAAATAATTGACTGATGCCGGAGAATTTAAGGTTTTAGAGATAAGAAGGATCCAAAGGTTGAAGGATAGCAGCTCTCAAGGATTGAACTGCTTGTTTGGTGCAACCTAAAAGCCAAAACCTAATATACAAAAAAAAACATTGAGATTTGTGAGGCTTGAACAAACAAATGTTTTTAATTAAAATATAAGTAAAGCAATAAAAAACTTCTATTGGCTGATTTAAACAAAAAATCACACTTTTACAATCCTAAAGCATCTCAGAGCTAGCTGTGTATAGTTCAGCTGTACAATATACTGCTCAACAATTCGGCCTAAACAGGTTCTTTAACAGGAAAACAAAGAAACTCAAATGGGAAGATGTGGATGTTGATTCCCACCGAATCAGAGAACAGTCCAGGTTCTGGATTTTAAAGGGGACCTATTATGCAAAATTCCCATCTTACAAGCTTTTACTCTTCCATTTGGATCTCAATTGCTTCTAAAACAGCACAAGTGCTTAAAAAAATCCCAAGCTGGTGTTTTTTGGTGTTTGGAAAATTAACCATTTTGAAACCCTCTAGAATGTGACGTAACAAACCAAGCTGGGTCCAGGACATTTGGTCAGCTGGTTTTATCACTGTATCAGTAAAATAGCTGCTGGAAAAGACCAAATGTTTAGTTATTCACTTCTGGTTTATTGGTTGTGCAGGAGGCTCCATTTCTGCTTTTCAAATATGTACGGTTGGATAATTGCGCATCTGTTTGTAGCCATTTTCTTGTGTGAGTCTAAATGTTGAGTAAGGGGGCGTGGCCAGCAGCAGCTTATTTGGATTTAAAGAGACAAGATGCCCTAAAACAGCTCATTATGAAAGGAGCTCAAAATAGACTAAAATCTCATCTAAGAATGACTTGTGCAAAAAAAGTGACAAACATATTTCATACAGACCATAGACCTATCCAAACCTGTTGAAGGAAGCATAACAGGTCACCTTTAAGACACAGCGCTCAAAGCCTCATTATGGCCAATAAAAACACAGATAACTGATGAACTTTTACAAACCACAGAGCAAACAGGCGTTCCAGTCACTTCGAGTGTAATGGGTGTCTACGTCACTCTAGGAAAACACAATCAGCTGTCTAAAAACAGATCCACAGTGACTTTCAGAACGTTCTTGAAGAAAACACAAAGATGTGGCAGTTTTTAGAACCAACACAGAGCTGGTGAAAATATCCATTTTCAGTTTTCATAATTGAAAACAACAAACAATGCTGACAGACAGTTTGTAAATCTCCTTCTCGCCCTCGTTGTTCCCTCATCGGGAAAACCGCCGTTGCCTGGTTTTCCTGTGATGTTAAGCTAAGTCTCCTCTCCTCAGAAGAATCTGGGCCACTGAGGAGGGGGCAGAGGTCCGCAGGAGGTCCAATCGACCTCCCTCAGCCGCAGGAGATAACAGTGAAGCGTTTGGAGATGCAGGACATGTTGTGCAGCACGATTCCCAACAGGAACAGCAGCACACACGCCACTAAAATAACCGTGCAAACGCCGGACCATGTGGAACCCTTTCCTCCTCCAACAGGGCCGGGAACTCTCCTCTCGCCTTCGCTGCCGTCCAGCCCGACGCCCTCCAGGCCCATCGCCAGGCCCAGAGGCTGCTGTTCGGGCACCGTCACCACCGTCATGCCCTTCTGCTGGCTGCCAGGAAGAAAGCGGCAACCCAGGTCTCCAGGCAGGCCGAGCGCCCGCTCCTTGGTGACCGGCAACGGCAGCATGTAGCAACCATTGCTAGGGAGGCGGATGAAGACAGGCGTGTGCTCCGAGGCGTGAGGTATAGCGATGACGGTGATGATGTCCGGGTCGTCTGGCAGCTGGGAGACGGACAGGCCGGGGGGAAGCTTGGTGACGCCGCGGCACCAAGGGCAGCGGATCTCCTTCTGGGTGCTGCGCATCTGGGTCAGGCACACGGAGCAGCAGGTGTGCCTGCAGTCCAGGAGTTTGGGCCGCCGCCGGGGGCTGTAGTAGTTAAAGCAGATCTGGCATTCCAGAATGGAGTCCTGGGAAAGAGTCTCCATGTTGGAAAGGTGCATCCAGCAGCCGGTAGCCCGGGTTTCAATGCAGAGCAGGTTGGGATGTTTTGCAATCGTCTTCAACTTCACTGTTGTCCTTCAGTTGGCGAAATGTTCCATCTGCAAGAGAAGAAGAAAGACCAGTCTTTAGAAACTGCATGTCAAAATAAAAGCCTCTTAATCACAAGATAAGGCCTGTTGTAATAAGAAATAAATCAGTTAATAGCATGATGAATTAAAATTAGTTCAATAATTTGCATGGTTTATTGTTTTGCATTTTGAATTTAAGATTTAAAAAAAAACTTTGCAAATCTGCTGAATTCAAAACACTTCAAGAGGCAGTTTTACCTTAAGATTAATTTCAAATTATAGAAAAAAGGAAAAAAAATCCGATTAAGCACTTTCTGCAATTTAATTATACATCAGTTAATCGGTTAATCCAAGACAAAAACATGGCAGATTTGTATCTGATTAACCGCTAGAATAATTGATTAATCATCAGAACAATTGATAGAATAGCTGTTTTCTAAAATAACTGTTCGTTGCAGCCCTATAATGACATATGAGAAACAACTGGCAGTCTTGTGAATGATGCAGAAACGTCTGTATCATCCAGCAGGTGACTGCAGTGTATTCATGAGATCCTTCGGTATTTGTGTCGACTGTGGCTGTTTCCTTTTTCTCCTTCTGGCCACATACTCCAGGAACCCTCCTTCCACATCCGGCTCTTCTTGCATAATCACGTCTGCGGTGTTAATTCATGCAGAAGCGGCGATAGTTTGCTTTTACAGATGATTAAGTCCTGTCAAAATACCACCGTGGAAACAATGAATACCAAACAGGGCCAAGCCGCCTTTACGTTTTGTTTCTTTGCCCAAATTGTCAAGTGTGAAAACTGCTGAGGAGGAAAAAAAGGAAGAAAAACGAGTAGATTTTCCTCTCTCTCTTTTTTTTCTACGCTGCCATCATGACAGAGACGCTGTCCCTTCAGGCGTAAAAAGCGGGAGAGGACGAAGTGAGATGGAGAGAAACGATGATAGAAATAGAAAAAGGTGACCACTGATTGTCCCGCAATACTGAGCGTCGGTGTCCCTTATCAGAAACAAGATCTCAGGTAATTACAGCTCTCATGGCGCCCCGTAGGGACACCGATGCAGCAGGAGAGAGATAAGAAGAGGTTTCACATCAAACATGTTCAGAGCAGATCATTCAGTCCTGCTGGCAGGTTCATTTAAGTGCAGATCAAACTCGACCTTGGATGGAAAAACATAACAGGACCAGAAAAAACATCAAATATCTACTGAAATCCTCCCTGAATATAAAGAATTTCACTTTAGAAAGAAAGTATACCATCTCACATTTCATAATAATTTATTAGACAAACATGAGAGCAATTTGGAAAAGCTGTGCATGGATACAAGAAGAACACAGAATGAATTTTAGCCCACTTTTCTTTCCAACATTGCTACAGATTAGTTAAGTCTCTTTCTCTCTCTTAAAGGGCGACATTATGTCTTCTCCAGATACAGAGGGTCATTTTATATCACAATCTAGTAACTATTTTACCTTCAGCCGTTATAAAAATACTGTAAAAATTAAACATGATTAGTTTTTCTCTCTGTAAGAAGCTCCTGCTCTGTGTGAAACTTCTAGGACGTAATCACAACAATGCTCCTCCTTATGCCATTTACAACTGTTTTAGGAGCAAAGGACTGAGAAGTAGTTCACAGTGTGTTTAAATTTTATAAAATAGTAGCATTTAATGCACTTTTTTGGGTTTTCTGAAAATATATATTTTGAATATTGCTCCAAAATTGAAACATATAGCTGACAAATAAAGAGAGTTTTGACGTTATGATTCAGTTTTAGAGTGTTTTCACACCTAGATTCTGTTCGATTGGTTTGTTACATTTTCAGCTGCTGTGTTTTTCTTTCCCACTGCACTCAGTCAAATGAACCAAACCCTTTGAAAAGTCTGTTCCCCTTCTCACCTGTGGGGGCGCTGCACCAAGAACCATTGAAGGAAACAACACAAAAACCTCCAAGGTCAACATGAACACAACTTCACTCTTCACAAAATACAAACAAAAATAGAGCAGTGTCAGATTTCAGATTTTGTAGGATTTCTCGTTTGTCTTTTTCTCCAGCTAGCACTAGACTTGTTTGTTTTGGTCGTATTTACCCAGAATGCCCTGCACTGTAATCCACTTCCTGCTTTTGGAGCAGTCCGCTTGGTGTTCACATATACATTCAAACCGCACCAGAGTTCACATTAATCAAACTAAGATGAAGTTCGTAGGCAGAGCAGAGTTCAGTCTTTTGGTATGATTGCACATTCACACCTCAACAAACAAACCGGACCTTTAAGAGTTGGATTAAAGTGGACTAAAGACGGCTGGTGGGAATGAACCTCAGTGTTAAATAGGAGCCATGACGCCTGCAGCCAGTAAAGACTTTACTTCAGCACCAAGAGTTGAGCGGATCCTCGTTAGCTTGCCAGGTCAATACCTTGTCAGTGGCATCGGCTCCCGCAGCTAAAGCCTCTCCATCCTCTGCCTCCCTGGAGGCAAAACACTCCCTCCTTAACCGAGTCTGGAGGCCAGACTGCTCACTTCTTCCTCCATGGCTGACCTAGTTTCTCCACGCCGGCTCAAGTAGAGAAAAGGTGCTGAAAGTCCAACCGGTTTCACGGAGCGCTGAGGAAGATGGAACAGACGGAGAGGAAGGCAGAGGATTCCCACTGACTGTCGAGGGTTTTACCAAGTCCAATATGGATTAGCTTTGATCTGACTAAAAAGCTTTGTGGCCCAGTATTCCCAAACACTCTGCTGCTCCGTTTTGACTAAGAATCCTTTCTTCCTCTATGCAAAATCTTCACACTTATCATTTTTCAAGTGACTTACTTCCTTTTTCTGCCTCAGCCACACGTCGTCTACACGTTAAAGATAAAAATGAAGCTAAAATACCTGATTTATGAACGCCAACACCAACAATATGAGGTAAAATGATGTTAAAAATGACCTACTATGCTTCCTTTAACAGGTTAGGATAGGTTTATGGTCTATACAAAGCATGTTCATCACAAAGTTTTGCACAAAATCATTCTTAGATAATGAGAATTTAGTCTCTTCCTTTCAGAATACGCTTTTAAAGGGCGTCTTGTCACTTTAAATCCAAATAAGCCACGCCCCCAACTCAACCTTTACACTCACAGGTAAAAATGGCTGAAAAGAGATTAAACATAAAATTAAAAATAAGCAAAATCCATTGATTATTGATCCCAAAGGTAAATTAAGTAGATAATAGCTCAAATAAATGTGCAATTATGCATCCAAACATCTTTAAAAAGCATTAGCATCTGCACAACCAACAAAAATGCAGCAAGTGGTTTCTACACTTGTCCTCTCCAGCAGCCATTGTACAGCACATACAGCGGTAAAACCAGCTGACCAAACATGCAGGAACTCCTTGGGTTGCTATAGGTAACGGGAGGAACTCTGTTTAGGTTGCTAGGTAATGGGCAGAACTCTGTTTAGGTTGCTGGGTAACGGCTGTGCCATTTGAATGTGACTTAACAAGCCAGAGGTTTTGAAAACAGCTCATTTTCCAGACACCAAAAAACATGAAGTTGTTACTATAAACATTTGGGTGTTGTTGCTGAGACCCAAATGGAATAATAAAAGTTGTAGAATGTGAATTTTCCACAACAGTTCTCCTTTAATGTAAGACAAGATGCTCTAAAACCAGAAGCTTAAATGGAAAATAGTTCAATTCTAATACTATAAATGGCCGGTTTTGTTAAATTTATGAATGAACTGAGCTGCTGTAAAAAAAAAAAGGAAAAAAAATCAATTCAAGGCTACAGCCAGTTGAGCAGCTTCTGTTGGTTTTAGCTGTATTTGGTCATTTTAGCAGCAGTTTTTATTAACTGAGAACAACACGCAGCTGTTCAGATAAATGGAGAAAAACCTTTTTCCTCCGCGTTTTTTGGAAACATTTCCGAGGTCGTAAAAGAACAGAGGACCAACTCTGTCTGCAGCGTAATGATATGATTTATCGGTTCAACTGAGCAGTAACCAGGGCGAGCTGCTGACCCACTTTCTCTCACACCCACCAACTGTAGACACAAACACAGAAATATCCAGAGTAACAAACGTCTGAGGGAAACTTTTCCAGTTTTTCATGCAGTTTGTGTGAAAGGTTCTGCTTTTGTAGCTAGAGGACGAAGAGTGACCGAGCAGCAGCTGTAACGCGTCTGATCCACCGGGAAGCGCCGCACACCTGAGGACAAGGACAGGAGGTAAAAATAACCGCACATCCAGCTCCACACGGCGCACATAATAAAATGACTGGAAGCAGCACGAAGCAGAAGATTGTTTTCATGCGGGAATCCTCGGGTGGTTTGAACCGGTGAAATGTCAGCGGCGGTGACGCACAGAGGGATGCAGCTTCAAACGTGCAACTTCGTTATGGATGTGTGTCTTAAGACGCCGTATCACGGTAGAAAAAAATAAGGAGTACATTTCTGCCATAAAACAAAAACAAGGGCATTTCTGAGTTTGAAAAGCCAAATGACTTTTAGAAAAAAACACAAATTTTGAAAGTAACGTCAAAAATCTTCTGGAAAATCTCTGAAATTTTTAAGATTGAAATGCAAATAAAATTGAAATGTTGAGGTTAATCTCCAAAACTTTCTAGAAAAAAAACTTCCAAAAAGTGGAAAAATTCTGACTTTAGAAACTCATAAATTTCAAAGTTTTTTTCTAGAATATTTCTTTGCATAATCTAAAAAACATTGTTTTTGTTATTACTAGCAAATTTTCAACTTTTCAATCGAGTTTCAAAAACCAAAAGTTTGCAAGAAACCCTTCGAAATTTTAACATTAATCTCACGGATTTTCAGCAAAAAACTTTGAGTTTGAGAAGTTTAAAATTTGCTACAAAAAACATTTTCTCTGAGGTTTTTTTTAGAAACAAGAAAATTTCTGAGTTTTAAAAGTCAAAAATTTGCTAGAAAACTCAGAATTTTTTAGATTAACTTGATCTTAACACATCAGCATCAAATTATTATCAGGAGCAGGACTGTGTCAGATCCTGATATCAAAGTTTTTTTCTCATTATTTTAATGTTGTTCTGCTGACACTATGAC